TATTCATAACTTGGCCCACTGGTTACCCAACATCTTTCTGCTGTAGCAGCTGGCATCCTTCTGCTACTCAGAAACGGGATGTGTTCACACAGCATGACAAGCAACACTGCATAGTTACTGTGGTTTACAGTGTTTTTCCAAGATCTACCTGACAGATGATCAAGTAGTTTCCATCTTGTTGTGGTTTCCATCCTCCACTGTCCTCTTCCTCATTGATCAAGGCAGCTTACATGATTCTTTTTCCTCACACTCTTATCCTCACAATAAGGTTGGGCTGAGGATCTGTCACCAAGCAGAATGGGGACTAGAACCCAGCTAACTTGAGTCCCAAGCCCATACTCTTAACCACTGGCTCTCATTTCTAAATTTCTCAAATATGCATTACTCAGAAATACGCATTTTTCAAATGTCATGTACATTTAGTCCACAAATCACAATGTATGGGCATTGACCACAATTTCCACCCAAGACTGTGTTTGATCAAGAAGATATAAACTGGCTAAATCCTAATCAAAAATAAACTGAAGTTAATTTGTTATACATCTATTACATCTGGTATGATTTTGGGAGCATATTGACCATAGACTTAAAGAGTTCAGAATAAATTATAGAACACAAATCCAAATATGCTCAAATCTATTTATGATTCTTTCTAGTATCATTACAAATGTCTTTACTTACTTACTCTAAGAGTAATTACATCATTAAACAGTCTTGTGGCAGATGAGTTCAACTATTCAACATTAATTCTATCAACTTAACAATTAACACTTGGGTGATTATGATTTACTTAATTATAGCATCTTTTTAAAATTAACTCAGACTAGGCTGTGATTCTATACACATCTGGTAGAAAACCCCTTTAAATTTAATAGGACTTGCCTCTGAATAGACATGAAAAGTTTGTGCATAAGTAGTGTATAGATTTGTATATGCAGTCATCTACTTCTACATTTTAAATTATATAAGCCTTTCCAAAATCTGACTAAAAGTTTCAGAGAAACCCTATGGTAGAGTTTTCCTGGTACTGTATCACTTTTGGATGGAGATGAAAAACATCTGCATGAACACACTTTATTAGGAGAGTGATACACCAGATTCCCAGCCCTGAGTTCAGAAAGCAGAGCTCCCTTTTGCTTTCCAGGTGGCACAGAAAGAGTCATGCCAGTTGCTTCTGTGAGGTCAGAAAACAGAACTCAGAGAAGGGATAACTATGGCTGCCTGGCTGAATAAATAGCAACGAATATTTGTGTGCAAACACATCCACCCACAGAATCTCTTGTCTGGTCATTTGGAGAATTAATCTATTCCAAATGATTGGTTGATACTTTTCTGGGGGCTTTAGAAGGAATGTGGCATACTTCACACTGTCTCATTTGTAGGATGTCGTCAATTAATGTTACCTCTACCAAAATATATAAAATGTCTTATTGTTTAGAGTAGCTATTTATTTTATCCACAGAATTTGAAGAAATGCTATGCTATGCATGAGAATATCATGTGGTGTCAAAACTGTATCTCAGTGCAAAGAAATGGATATAAATTTCTTATGTTCTCGTGTTCATGAGTTCTGGGATCAGCTCATCTGGGTGCAAGGAAACAGTAGCATGACAAGAACATTCTTGGACAGGAATGACAGATGAACCGTCTGGGATAGAATAAGGACTCCAGGGAACAAGAGGGCACAGAGACTTGAGATCATACTATCACCACTTTTCACCATGGGTTGCAGTGTGTACCAGCAACCATTTTGAATATTCATCTCTTGGTGGAGGGTTGTCTTGTTTTGTTCTGTTGTCTGAACCCAGCTAGCTGAGCTTGTTTGAGGATGACCCATTGGGTTATTTGAGGGTTCTTTAGTCCTTAAACAAACTTTAATGTCCAGGCTTGAATGATACAGCAAAATGAGGGGCATATCTAAAATGGTTGCCAGCATGCATCAAACCCCACATGGCTTAAATAAGACATGATGTGCTGCAGTGATCATGTGAACTGGATCAGTGAGTGGGAAATAACACGAAGAATGTAGAACTGGGTATTTTCAGTGTACATATGTGAACACTTATGCCATTATTGACCAAATTTGCCATCTTTGTTGATGCTCATTCTGAGGCCTGACATGATTATCCAGGGGCCTTTCTTTTATTCTTGGCTGGGTGTTTATATTGTCTTTTAATGTATGTTATGCCATTTTAAATTAATTTTAATTCAAGATAATGTTGAATTATCTTGTATAATATAGAAGAAATGAAATGAAGGGGAAGAAGGGCAGTATAGAAATGAAATGAAGGAGAAGAAGAGGAAGAAGAGTAAAGAAGTTTCTTAATTTTTAAGATGTCATGCGATTCTTTTTAATTTTGCTGCAATAGACTAACCCAGCTACTCCTCTGAAAATGTATATTAAAAGTATTCTTGTATTATAATATATTGAATAAGCATTCAAAAATCCGCTTTTTAAAAGCGATAGTTGTAGTTTCAAAGAATTGGAGTAGTTGATATATTTTGTAGCTATATAGATGGTTGAACTATGGCTTAACTACAGCAAACTTCTGTTGCAGGCTATAGGCATCTGAAATCAATTTTGTCAGCCTTAATTCATTGTATTTTGTTAATTGCTCTGTTGTAAGAATTCTAGCTTTTACTTCTAATCTTTGTTTTGCTTAATTTGTTCTGAATATGTAACAAGTTGAATTGACGGTTGCTGTTCTTTTGCTGTACAAGTTATCAGCTCAGAAATGGAGAGCAGTGCAAAAATTTTAAAAGACATGAAAGCTTGTTCCTACTTTCCATGGAAATATCTTCTGCCTTCCTCCCACCCCTCTTAAAAGAGCCTATTTTCTCTTGATGACAGTGAATGTAAAGACACTATGGAAGATTCAAATAGGAGCTTCAACATCTTGACATGATACCATTGTTTGTGATGTAAATAAGTGCCAAGGAAGACATTGCATATGCACAGATAAGGGGAAAAATCTTGACTTCTGGAAGTCAACTGATAGCAGTGACTTTAATGATTTCAGATTGAAGACAGAACATACAGTTTTGATGTTGAAGGCCGTTGGGTGGAAGTTACCAAGGAGAGAATCTGTTTGGCTCAAAAATGAAAAGAAACCATAATGCAAAAATGAAATCATGGCACAATGACAGTGAGCAATAGTGATATACGAAGTGGTTTATAGAGTTAACCCTTTGTAGTCATGAGTAATAACTTGAGCACATTTAATGTGAGCTTTCATAACATGTTCTTATTTATGTTTGTGATTGTTGCTGTTCTATTTTGGGGGTTTGTTAAATCTTATTTTTATTCTTAGTCCAATGAAAACTTGTTGTCAGCATTATTTTCTATTTTCTTCAGGGTTCTAATTGAAAGAGGTAATCTGTTAGTGAATTGACACTGCTTTTACAATTAAGGAAACAGTATCTAAGAGGTTATAGCATAATTTGAAAGGCCAGAAACAGCTTTACAACCTCACAGCTAGGAAATGGATGTCTGCCCCCTTGTGGCCTAAGTGGAAAGAAACACATCAGCTGTTGTTTGAGGTCAGAAATACTACCTCAGAGAAGAATAAAATGGAGGTGTTTTGATGGTTGGTGAGGGAAACAGAGACTGGATCAGTCAGAATATGGATTAGCCTGCAACTATTCCAGTCACCTTCCTTACCCATCTGAGATCTTCTAACTAGTTAGACTAAAAAGTCCATTCATTGTGCTCTAGGTAGGATGCCTGAAAATCTTAGAGTTTGTGATCTTTTATATTCAAGTATTTTTCATTAATCTGTACAATGTTGCTATTGTTGTGACCACGAAAGTGAAGAAGGGACATTTGAGATTGCCAGGATTCTCCATTCCTTGTACAGTTACTTCTGCCTTGTTGTTCCTGTGTTGTGCGAACTTATGCACTGTGAGCAGTGATCAAGCAGATTTGCCGAAATCTCCCAAAATTTGTGCAAATTTCCTATGTAGACTGAAGCAGGAGTGATTCAATCTACTGAGCAAATTCACACAAAGTAGAAAATGAGTGGAGAGCAAACTGGAAACTGGGAACAAGATAAACATTAACATGTGTTCAATAGTTTGTGGATAGTTTTGATGAATATGTGTTCGTACCCATTTTTTGGCTTATATGTGACATGTTCACATTTCACAGATGAAAACAGAGATAGCTTTGTGCATTCTTGAATAACCCTAAGTGGAGAGTTTATGATTGCCCATGGCTTGACAATGCAATCTACCTTCAAATGAGCCTCACCACAAATATAGAGAGATGTCTAAAAATGCATGCATGCAAATGGTTTTAGCTGGCAAAAACATTGGGTAAAAGTTGATATATACAGGACATGTTAAATACACACACATTCATTTCATATATACTCTGAGAGGCCATTGCCCTCATTATATCGCCAAAGAACATGGAAGCAAAGCAATACAGGAATGGTCAAGTTCAGTTGACAATTTCATGGCACAGAATCTCTAAGCAGAATTAACAGAATGCTTGCTGATGGAGAAATGCTAATGCTGCCAATTAAAAAGCATCATGCAACTCTTTCATCCTTTTCCCCTTAACAGATTTTTATGGTTAGAGAAAAGGTGAATAAAGTGGTGAGAAAGTGGGAAGTTTATGAATGGAAGACAATGACATCTGGAGCCAACGCAGAATTTTGTGAATGAGGCAGGTTGATGGCTTGATAGCTTGATAGATAGCCTTATCTAGATGTGTCCACCCTTAAGTAGTAATAGTAAAAGTGGGAGGTGGCAGAAGGGAAATATATTTGTTTCATGAAAATCTGTGTGATTGAAGAGTATGGTTTCCAAGTGACAGGTCAGGCAGGTCACATTCCAATGGAATACTAGAGGAGAATAATGGCTTTAACAATGCATGTCTGATGATGATAATGTGAGAGAACAAGTAATGAAGTATGCAATGCCCATATGTTTTTTAATTGCATTTACACAAGCTTGTTAATATATGTATATATTTATTTTCCTTCTCTTCTTTCTAGATCTGTCTTGATTGAAGCTTGACATAAAATGTTACAGCAGCTTTGCTTCTCAAAATGGTTAGCAATAGGAGTTGCGGTTTCCGTGGTCTTCATGGATTGTTTGGCCCAGAATGATGATGGTAAGTCTGAGTGCTGTGCAATTTCACACAAAGTTCCAAATGCAATAAATAAATTGTTATTAGAACAGGCATAACACTGACTGACCAGGCAATTTTCCTTGGGGGAATCTCAATATAGTCTTACTGGCTGAAGTGCTCAGCAAAAAGCTCCATGAATTGCTTTAGGAAGCCAACTTTCCAAACCTTCATTTACACAATTATCAGAGAGCAGTTAAAATGTTTATCTTTTAATCCAGCCCATAGCTTTAGCTTATTTGGTGTACTGGATACACTCTGTTATTTCTTAAATATTGTATGAACCAACATTGTGAAAGCAACAAATTAATCCTGCATGTTTTGGGCATCCAGTGAACAAGGTGTGAAAGCTGTGGTGGTGGTGGTGGTGGTGATATATATATATATCAGTGAGATGCATTTAGTTGTGGGCAAATCTGGATCCCATACTAGTGAGGCTTTGGATACATCTCAGAATCACCGGTGCACGGTCATATTTTGAGCAAAACCTCTGCTTTAGGGGAGTTCTTATTGTTGCTTTATGCTTATGCTTTCTGGGTATGTAAACTGATTTCTTTAAAAATGAAAGTGAACACTTACCATTATATTATGATCTACAGATGCTTTGCAAAGAATAATAAAACACCAATAAAGATGAACAAAGAATATAAACATATGAAGCACATATACCTTTATATTGCTCTATATAATAGGTCTATTATAGCCCCTGTAATATACCTTGGAGGTGAATTGTAAAGCTCAGAGTGCAGGTCTTTACCAAGTAAACATTACTTTCCTAAAGAAGATCTTTGGCTGAAATATCACAGTATTCCTGAATAAAGATATTAAATGGTATATTCATCTATTTAAATAGATTGAATATTGGCTTGCATTTACAAGTAGCTAGATTTTCATCAGATGTTTGCCGTTGGTGGCATATCTGTTTGTCCAATTGAAGAAGAATGGCTCTGGGAAAGCTTGTGGAAATCCCAAAGCTTTCATCTTATAAATTTGTCTGTGGTTTTGATCATGTATTTACAGTTCTTCCATTTCAGGACTGATTTTGAATATACATATATTAATGCTTACTGAGTAACTAAGCTCTATTGTCTGCCTTCATTTTGCTCATGCTGGAAGTATTTTGTGTAGTATCTCAGTTTTCACAGGTTGCTTGTTGACACAGCATTTAGAGTGAGTTATGTAAGAGCTGAATGAATCCTTCAAAGCTGACAGAGTGAAAAAGTATTCTTTTTAAATAGATGCAATTTAGAAATTAAATGCTGGTTAATATTAGTAATTTATTCTAATTTGCTAACTCACCAAATAGAGATGTGTTAGATCAATTGCTAATTAATGGCCTGGAATCGAGGAAATAAAGGAAACCATACCCTGTTTTTTGTGGGACCCTGAGTATGTGCATGGAGTCAACAGGGTTCAGTTACAACATACTCAGAACTTCAACTTGACAGGCAGAGCTGTAATTCTGGGATTCAGTTTCTCACTTACACAAATTGCAACAAGAACTTGTGGCTCCCAGGCTGTAACTCTGTAAGTGCAAGAACACAATGTATGCTACTGTTTAGTGTTAAAGTCCCAGGGGGAGGAAAATTCAGGTTTTAGAAGGATCATCTTCTGTTAGCAGTCTCTAAATGCTTTAAAAGCCCCCAACTTCAAAAAGTTGGGCTTTTTGAACATGTTCTTCTGTCTCTTCTGAACTACAGCTTCTATAGCAATTATTCTGAAATTGCACCAACAACAGCCCTCCATCTAACTTATCTTTCTACCTTGTAAGAATCTTCTAAGCAGCCTTTGTTCTAGTCAGTTTTGTCCTAAAGAATAATAAGTGCTACAGGAAGATTGCTTTGGTAGGGATCTGCCTGGTGGGATGGGTTATAGGCTGCTGTTTTGCATTATATACTTTCATTACACAAGTTAGACTTTTACTGAATTAGTGAAGCTCTCCCCCCATAGTTACTTTTTGTTCATGTACATAGTCATTTGAAAATAGCTGATCATGTTGTTTTTCAAAAGGATGCTGTTATAATGTTGCTTCCAAAGCTTCTTTGCATGTGGCTGTTTTTAAATTATCTCTTCCTTATACCCAGCAAGTGTCATCAGAGCTGAAAAGCTGTTGAACCAATTTATAGCAATAAGATGGTGCTTATAAGACCATTCTGTTTTTTAACATTATTTTTAAATGTGATAAAATGTTTAAAAATCCCTTCTCTGTAGTGCATCATTACAGAGAAGGGATTTCAGAGGAGCATACATAAAAACCAAAAATTCAGTGCTACACAAACATTAAATTTAAACAGCAGTGCAATTAAATTGAGGTGCATGGGGGGAAAGCTAAATATTCCAACTGAAATGGCAAATGCCTGGATGAATTGGCACTGGAAAGAGCATAGTGCTGGTGCCAGGTGATCCTCCTGTGGAAAAGTGCTTTTAAGTTGAGACAACAACACAAGTTTTCTTACAACCTTTGAACTCAAAATTATTGATGGCACTGCTTGGTCTGCCTTGATATTACAGTATATTTTTACTGTCAGCTGTCAGGGCTAACCTTGCTGAGGCCACCTAGGAGCCAAATGACACACAATGCTAATCATGCATTGTGATAGACGTTTGTGATGGACACACGTGTGGCCCCAGTTCTGACCAGGACAATTGTATTTGGAGAAGGAAGGGTTAAGGCTCCCCAACCCATTTTTCTCCAAACTTTCACCCCACCCCCGACATCAATCAAGGTATCGAAGTTAATGCAACTGGAAAGTTTTGGGAATGAATAAAGGCTTCCCCTTCTTATAAGTGTAAAGTGGCAGTTGTAGTGATAGGACACTTCACTGCCAGACTGTTTGACTAAAGACTTTCTGATCCAGCTCAGAGATCAAAATATTTTCCAAAGTGCTGCACTGCTTATGGTGTATTTATGCAAGCCATCCCAGATTCCCTGTGGGCTTCTCTGCATGTCTACTCATAAGTAAGTCCCATTGAGTTCATTCACTGATGCTGCAATTCTGAAAAAATGTATGAGAGAGCAGACTCCATACTGAATGCAGTGAGACTTACTTCTGAGTAAACATGCGTGTAAGTGACAATAAACACACAGTAACTGACAGTCTCAATTGTCCTTGTTTGTGTTTGTTCATCTGTTTTTTCTGAACATTGATTGGTGAGAATTTTCATTACTAACTAAAAACTGTAATTCTGTCTGGGGAGTATGAAATACTACATTTCCTTTAGTGCAAATGTGTATCTATTTCTGCTCCTTACCAGCTTCTTCCTTTTTCACCTGGCTCTTTTCTCTGTTCTGCAGGAGTCCAGCATGCTTTCTCTTTCCCTTTCTCCTGCCTTTCTTCCTATCCTGCCCTCTCTTCTCATAGAGATATAAAAACCAAAGACACAACCTATACCTTAATTTTTTCATTCCAATTGACATCTCATTGTTTCTCCCTGGCATTTATCCTAGAAGTAGATGGAAAAAGCCAAGATTATACCCACTCAGAAAACAAACAATAGCAAGAAAGAGCAAATTCCTTGTTCATTTTTACATGGTGTGCAACATGGAATTGGAGTGGTGTGTACAACTTGTTCTCATCCAAATTATTGGAGCATTAAAATTAATGTACATAACTGAGTGCTGGATTGGGCCTCAGAGAAAGTTTGAGAAAGCAAATTAAGTTTCGAGCATCGCCCTGGCCTGAGGAATGTTTGCATGGGGTTTGTTTGGTGGGAATCCACACTGGCCTCAGCCTCAAATTTTCACTTCTATATTAACAGTAGGGCTGTTGTATGTATATTGCAGGGTTGCCATACCTCACATCCTTTCATAGCACACTCCCTCCAGTGGGAGCACAACAGCACTGGATGCCTTTGTTGTATTGTTCGAAGGCATCTTCTGGGGCTGAACACTGTCCTGTGGGATTTCGTGTGAGTTTCTTTACACAGCTATCATAAGCCACTCTCTCCAGGTTGTAACCTGCAACATGCAACTACTTGGACGTTGTAGTGGAAAGGCCATATATTTTTTACATGTGAAAGATGTTTGATACTAAATAAGTTTGCAATCAGAAAGCATAGATACTAATGTGTTTGCTCTCCTTTGTTTAGCAGTGGAGGAGCTGTTGCCTCCTCACAGTCTGTTTCTCCTTTTATTTCTAAGTACAGCTCTCATGTTTGCTCAGCTGACATTCTAAAAAGGAACTCTCAGTGTGAACTGGGAAGTGAGTCACCAGGTAATGAGATAGGTCACAATTTCAAATCTATCTCCTTCTTGGTCTCTTGGGTTTTTGGACACCCTCTATGTGAATGCTCCTAAAGGAGTTTCCAGAGGAAGGGGAGACACAGAAAGGGAGCTTTGCACGCACTGATGGAGATGCAGCCACTCTCTCACAAGCTGCTCTTCTGTGTTTCTACCTCTTACGTGTTCCTGGAGGCTTCCCCAGCTGGCCAGTGGCATTTTGAAGCCTCCATGATTGCCACGACCACACTCCGTCTTCCTCACTCTGTCAGAACCAACTTCCGTGTGTCTTTCTGCTGATGTTCAGCTTCGCAGCCCCAGCAGACATCATCAGCAGTGAATTACCATATCTAGGGAGTAGAGGGCCTTCCTCAGCTTCATCTTGGTATCTCATCCACACAGGCACATGTTCAAGGAACTCTAGAAGCCTGGGGTGGGGGTTGGGTAGCAGTGGTGTCCACAGCTGGCCCACAGTCCTGGCTCTGACATTGTAGGAAACAAGCTAGTGCCATGAAGAGATGCAAGAGATGCTAGAGAAGGCAGACAACAAGGAGGGCATTTTATGGTAGAACAAAAATACACTCCATCATGATAAAACAGACATGTTTGAGCTAGAATATATGGAAGGATTTTGAGACTGTCTCAACAACAGAGGGATTAAAATTAAGGCACTTCCAGAACAAATAGAACATTGAATTGGGGCACACAGTGTGAAATACCCTAATTTCTAGAAAAGTCTCAAAACTGGGAATAATTTAGGACTTTC